GCAAAACCACTGAATGGCCAGTATCCTCCAAAAGATTGTTGGCTTTCAGTCATCTGTTCCTCTTTTGGTAGTCCTCTGACAGTGCTCAAGAGAAGCCCCCTTGTATAATCCATCTTCTAGTATGATTATTTCTCTAGCACTCTGGACTCCATTGCTCCTGACTTATCTTCCCCTTCTGCCCCCCATTTCACTCCCCTCCCAAACCCTTCCATTCTGCCCACTGGAATTCCTCCTCCGTGATTAACAAACTCCCCTGTATTCTCAGTCTCTTCTGAGAATTCTTGCTATCCTCTTCCTTGACTGAAACCTGGTCCTTCCGCAGTAATTCTCTGTAGCCCACTCAGGCAAATGCCAGATCATTAAGGACCTTATTTGTTGTTGTAAGGACTTCAGTCTGCCACATTGTGGAGCCATTTCCTATTTCTAAACCCCTGCTTGTTTGAGGTGCTTGCTGTCTGGCTACACCACCTCTGATACATCTAATCTCAATTATCTGCTGATTTCCTAGACAGTACCTCTTATTCATTGAAAACTGATACTGGCTTTTAGTGTTGCTTTTCTTCTGAACTGCTGCCATCAGCCTGAGTTAGCATCTGTATGGTTATGAACCCAAACAATCATTCTCTCTACCTTTTATTCCAAAGACCCTCTCTATTCCACTTTAGCCACCCTTTTTTACCTTGGACCTTGGCAACATCTGAAAACCGTTTCAATTCCAGATTCACTAATTTAAACATCCCATAATATACTACCCTTTCGCTTGCCTCTTCAACTACTTCCATTATAGCTCCTCTTAAACATCACCAGGATCTTTAGACCACTAACATTTTCTGCTCCTTCTATCAGCTCCTTCCTGTCTTCACTACTCTTCTGACTAGCTTAGATTCCATGGCCTTTCATTTCAGGCACTTTTGCCAGTACGCTAAACTAACTTGTTCTTTTAGCTCAGTTGCCTGGGAGACAGGGTAGAACCCAAGCCTAACTGCCTATCTAGATAGATGCTGCTTAAGATCACAAAATAGACAATGGGTGGTAACTCTATAAATTCTTGATCACCAACCTCAGTTAGGACCGCAGCATTGCCTGGTAATCCTGCAGAGTTTCTGTTTTAAACTTACTCTTTCACTCGCTATAATAGTTGTTTTAGACCCTTATTCTTTTCGAATCTGAAATTTCTCTGTTCTCACTTGTAGCCGATGGTTTTGACCCCTACTTCATAGAGAAAATAGAATTGTTAGTTTCCTATTTCCAATTTCCTTCAGCTTCCCACCACCAAATCTATTTACCTACCTCTCCCTCTACCCATCCTGGATCTCATACCCTCCTACCGCCTCAGGGCCTTGGTGTTGTTTATTCTTCTTCCAGCCCTCTCCTCTGCCCCCAATATCTTCAGCTTCTTCCCAACAGTCTTTCTCATCCAGAATCTGAAATTTCTTTTTTCTTAAAACAGTAACCAAACAAAAACCTACTGTAATCTTATCTCACTTCAGCTATCACTCTCTCTCCTCCCCATTACAATCAAACTACTTGAAATAACTGTTATAAAA